ATGGATACCATCAAAATGAATAAAGATTCGGTTTGTAAAAGAGAAACCTCTTGAGAAAGAGAAATGACAACTCATCCGTAGGGGTGATAATCATACAGGTAGTAAACAAACAAACAAGCAAAAAACCTCATAAGGGTTGGGGCAAGGTTCTGTTCTTATCTTTGCAGGAAATCACTCATCTTCAAAGAGTAGAGACCTTGATGTCTAAAAATGAAAAGATAACTATCCAGAAAGGATCACCAAGCAAAGAGAAATCACATTTGTGATACTATATTATCTGCATGGTAAAATTTGATTATCTGGACATGTATACATTTCTACTTAAAAATACAACTAGCTTTAGAGTTAGTCAATGGCTTTCCTTCTCTAAATCCAAGCATGTTGTTAAAAGAAAAATTCTGAATTTTTGTCTCATGTCAGGAGTCATCTGGTATGGGACAGAAAGAAGATAGATTTTTAAGGAAATATTTTACTTTTCTCCATGCTCATTTTTTCTATATCATATCTTTCACTGAATATATGTCTATGTGACTAATGTTTAAGTTTTCAACAATGAACAGTAGATTTCCCTGCAGTAATCTTTGAAGCTTCTAGGAGGACTATGGGGCCCCACAATAACGACTCCACCTGGTTGATATGATGTCATGATGCTGATAGTGCTACTATGAGACCGGTTTTTGGGTACCAGCTATGGAAATGGTGCACCTTCTTACAACATTCTGGCCAGAACTCCAAATAAGAACTTAAAAAAAAAAACAACAAAAATAAACCCAACCCAATCAACTACTCAGAGACCATTTGTAATTATACAAAACAACAATCTTGCTTCTGGCTCTTGTTTCTGGCTGACAGACTCGGTTCCTGTTACCCATTCATGTAGAGAACTGTGATCTAGGACAGTGATCTGTGAGTCTCCCCTAAATAAATAAACATTTATTATACATAATTCTTAACCTGTGTGGGCCTATTTTGTAACTTCCATTGTCGAGTAACATAGGTTCTTTTTTCTTTTTTTTATGACAATGAAACATGTATGCTCCTGGCAGCACCACTTTACCTCAGAGAAGACGATGGGAATATAAGAAACACCACTTGGAGTTTGCTTTCTTTGTGGCAAAAGTAAGCTACTGGGTATGAAAGTACCCTTGTCTCAACTGCTGACAGTATGTTGTCCTAATGAGACAAGCAGGACCCAAAAGAGAGTGACTGCCAAACCTTGCCCAGACAAGGTGGGACAGTTCTTCAAAAACCCAGTTTCATAGAAAAGTCTGTCAGATATTCTAGGCCTGTAGGCCGAAGATGGATGCCCCAACATTGCAGACGAACTTTGGGTGACTGTCCAGGCAGCCAGCTGTTTCTGTCATTTCTCATATTTTTAGAAGTCACTTGCTTACATCTCCTGCTTACTCAGTTAGTATTGGGTCGGTCTCTGAGGTAGTTGAAGACTAGATAGTTGTAGTTTTAAGTGTTTATGAGACTCAGAAAAGAAACTCACTAAGGAAATGTAAAGTATACAAGTTTGAGAGATATCAAGACAGTTTTGGATGGCAATGCAAGGTATGATAGAAAGTAAATTAGGTATAAGGTTTTGAACTCACCAAGCTAACATAGATAATGAGTATTTTCTCTGAATTTGTTCAATGCAAATGGACTAGACATTGTTGTTATATTTATTGCCTGTATATATTGTATACAGTTATCATACTTATGGTATATAATTTCTTATATTAATTATAACCTTCCTTTTTGTTTTAGACAATAAAATAATTGTAGTTATATTTCTATTGTATTTTAATAAATAAAGTTTGCCTGAAGACCTGAAAGTAAAACTAAACCACAAAAGACCAGGCAGTGGTGTCTCACACCTTTAATCCCAGTACTAGGGAGTCACACCTTTAATCCCAGCATTAGAGAGGAATATAAGGTGGGATGAGACAGGAAGGAATTCATGCTCTTTTAGTCTGATGATTTCTTAGAGGTAAGAGCTCTCTAGTGGCTCAGCTGCTTTGCTTTTCTGATATTCAGGTTGGACCTCAATATCTGTGTCTGGGTTTTTATTAATCGTGCTACACTCCCAACTTGAATGGATAGATAAACATGAGGAACCAATACAGCTTTGACCTTGGGACGTTTGTACTACAACCCATTCAACCCCTAGAGACTCCTCTCATCTCTCTCTTCTCCTTTCTCTTTCTCTTTCATGCATGTGTGTGAAACACACACCACAAAACAAGAGAAAAGCAAAGGACTGTAAAGACACAAAGTAAGAACAATATGGCCATAGTCTACTGTTTTCTGCTCATGGAAGGGTCTAACTCCAGTTCCAGAGGCGATGGGATGAGAGTCCCTGCCCAGTGTTCTCTGCTTTCAGATGCGTTCAGTGGATCAAAGCAGTGAAGAAAGGACTCTTGGAGCACTTGGTTAGTGAGCAAGTAGTCACTCATTTCCCCTTACACTTTTTTTCTTAATCATTTTATTATAACATTTTGTTTCCTTTTTCAAGTCAGTTATATACCTGTGATAGTACATGAATTCAGAACATCCAAAGGAAAAGGGGCCAGCCATTATTTTGGCTCTGATTTCAGCATTCATGGGGTTTTTTTTCTGTTTTGTTTTTTGTTTTTGTTTTTTGGCACCAGAGAACTTGTGAAATAGTTGGTGGGTTCAAAATGCAGCTCTACCAAAAAAGACAGGGATTTTAATGTCTAAAATGTCACTTTAATATAAACAGTCACTGGTGTTTCAGGTTGGGTCACCATATTCCTGCACTGACTCATTGTCCTTATCTTCAGAGGTGGATACTGAATGCCATGAGTCCTTTGGGATGCACTGGGATTCTACTGTTGCTGCTGTGTTTTCTGCTCTTGCTACTTTCTTTCCTGCCTGCAGTGTGCTCCTCTTTGGAATCACCAGGATGAAGTGCCATCTCTTGTCACACGGGGTGGCTGTAGTGCTGACACTTCTGCTCCAGGTCCTTCTCATCTTCCTCAAAAACCTGCATTTCTCTGTAAGCACATCTCCATGGACACTGCTTCGTAGTGATTCTTCAGGCATCTGAGTGGGGTGTTAAAGAAGCCCCACATGGTTCTTATCAGGCTGGAGAAGGCATACACAGTGCATCACCTGACCATGAGCATATTGTTAATTGAATCTGGAGCAGCTTCCACTGAATCTTTAGAAAACTCATTTGCAAAACTGTCGCCTACCTCCTGGGAGATTTTCTCCCTAGAACCAGAGAACCATGGGGGGACTTGTGCTACCTTACCCAAGAGGAAAATGTCACAGGCAGAGATCATGCCAGGCAGGTAGCCACTGCCTGGTCCTTTGCAGTGAAGGGCCAGGGTATAGCACTGGCCAGGGCATGCTGGAAAGAGAGGGAGAGGCAACGCTTGCTGCTGAAGAAAACTCTGACTACTTGGTTGCCCTCTGCAAGACTTTCCAGGCTGGGTATCCTCCAAACTATTATCCCCATGCCATTCTTACCCACCTGTGCTGCAGTTCCAACAGAGGGTAACTCAGACAGAGATTTCTTGTGTAAGCCACCAAAAAGCATACGCTACAGAAGAAACACTGCTAGAGTTCATCACACATAAAAATTAAAAAACATGTGCTCTTCATATTAGTGAAAATGCAAGGCATACCAGAGAGACGGAACTTACTAAACACATACGTGGAAGAAAGGACTTGCATGCAGAGTAAAGAAAACAACTCACTCAGCAAGGTGGCTCCATGGATTAAGGGCATTTGCAATACTCAGAACCTACATGGTGGAAGGAGACTTTTGGAAGTTGTCTATGAATCTTCACATGAGTATCACAGCATGTACTTACCACACACATTCACAGACACAAATACATGCATACAAAATAAAGAAAAAGAGATTATTAGTAAAAGAAAAATGTGTATGGTGGCAAAAGCCTGTAAAGTCAGAGAAGACACAATTCAGGAGCAAAGTCAGGATGGCAGCAAGTTCAAAGGCAACCTGGCTTATATAAAAGAGACCCTGTCTCAAAGACAAACTAAAACCAAAGCTCAGCAAGAACAAAAACATCTGTATGGACACAGAGTTAAATACCCAGCACTAAGATATATCCGAGTACAACTAGACAGTCCACAGCACCCATTATTAAGTAAATGCAAATCAGATTACAAGGACACAAACATTACTAGCTATCAGCTAGTAGAAAGGCAACTTTTTGTTGTTGTTGAGACAGGGTCTCATATGTATCCCAGGCTAGTCAGAAACTACTTATGCAGTCAAAGACACCTTAATCTGCTATTCTCTTGCTTCCTCTCCATAAGTGCTGGGAAGGACAGGTATTTACCACCATGCCTGGTTTATATAAACCCAGGGCATCATGATGCTGGACAAACATTCTACTAACTGAATACACCCTCCATCCAGGTAAATGCCTTAAGAAAAACTGAAAAATTAAGTGAATGGAACAACTGCCATGCACTGCTGACGAGATATACTAAGAATCACACCCAGTGAGAGAAGACAGATACAAATGGCCACACACTATGAAATGTCTTTTATGAGACATTCTGGAAAAGAGAAACTATAGGCTCAGAAATAAGAATAGTGATGGATTAAAGGGTGAGAGGAGTGACTAAAAAGGCACAGGAGGCCTTTGAACTTTTATTATTATGTTATGTGTGCATGTGTTGTTTGAGCACTCGTGGAGGTAAGAAGGCATCCTTGTTGAGTTGACTTTCTCCGTCCTTAATGTAGTTCTAGGAATTAAACTCAGGTCACCAGGCTTTCATAGTATTATGCATTGAGCCATCTCACTGCCCATGATGGGTCTTTTGGGGATGATAGAGCTTGCATAGTTACCTAAGCTCTGTAGTAGTAGTTAGCTAACTATGATTTGAACTTAATTGCATGAAATTTTTATCTCAACAATCCTGACAAGAAATTGATAAGACAAAAAAACTAGCATAAAACAAATATTTAAAAGAGCTAGGTGAAGTTATCCTAAGAAAATAAACCTTACAGATGTTCCAGTTGCAGGGTCATCATGAGAATGTTCCCAAGCATTGTCAGTTGTACTTGTGTTGTCCCCAGGTCTCTGAAGGAGAGAAAGATTTCATGAGGAGCCATTTTCATTACAAGTGGTTACTTACACTCTGGCTTTCCTATAAAAGTATCTGTCTCAGGAGTAAGTAAGCCCATCAGAGAAGAAACTTCTATAGAGCCTACTATATCTAGTACTACTTATATCATCCACTTAATGAGATGGCATTGAATAGAATCTATCTTCTTACTTTTCATTTTCATATTGCATTTACCATATAACTACTACTTCACATTTTACGTTCTTTTATTTTATATATATATAAATATGTTTCTCTGCTTTCTGAGATGATATATTCATCTCTCTTATCAATTTATTTTGTACATATATGTATCTGTGTATCTAAGTAGGTGCACATGAATGTATGGGGGTGCCATGGAAGCCAGAAAAGGGGATTGGATCTCTTGGGGCTGGAGTTATAGTATATTGTGAGCTACCCACATGGGTGTTAGGATTCAAATGCAAGTCCTCAAATAGAGCAGCAAAAGGTCTAGACCACAGATACCAGCTTCATCTACATTGCATATCTCTCTATGATCTTCAATACTGGTTTTCCCCAGGCTGAATGTCTTGCCCATTATTTATCTTATCTTCATCCTTCTCTTTGTTAGTAACTTTTGAAAGGATTCAGTTTATTATAAATTGTGTGTATATGAGTCTATGGGGGGGAATCTGTACGTGAGTATAGGTGTCTATGAGAGCCAAAAGCATCGGATTCTTCCAGAGTTAAAAACAAAGGCAGTTATGATCAGCCACCTTGGGTGCTGGAAATCAAACTCAGGTTCTCTGCAAGACTAGCAGACACTCTTCTTAATTGATGAGACACCTCTCCAGCCCTTTAATAGCATTTAAAAATAATCAAGTTAAAACTAAAACTGACTTTTTATCTTTACGACAAAGTACCCTTTGATGAGCAAAGTAGAGGATAGAATACAGGGAGAAATACTAACGCTAAAGATCTTTTGAAAAAGTTGTTTGGGAACCTACTACTATAGAAGCTCACACACACAGTGTGATAGTTTGAATAAGCATGTGCCAGTGGCCAGTGTCAGAGGAGCACTAGTTGGTAACTGAAGTTCAGGGTGTCAGCCCACCAGGAGGAAAACTCTTTGATGGGAGAACCTCACTAAGCATGGCTACGAGGTTACAGACTCCAGACTGTCTTTTGCTTCTGTTCTGCCTTTACATGTTGCTACTACAATCTTTCCCTGGCATCTGGCATGGTGTGAGGAGATGTGGAGAGACCCCCACCAACACTCCCTGTATTGTAGTGTATTTATCTTATGGAAATATCCTTATCTACTGGGCATTTTTCCCTGTGGATTGTCAAGAAGATTACATATCCCTAGACTGTACTATCTAACTGACAATTAGGATGATAGCTTATACAGAGTTTTAATGAATAAAAATACATACAAGAACATGTTTCATAGCAAGGCATATGAGTTCCACTTAAAGAGTTGACTTAGATCTTAGCTCTGGTTAATGATCAAGGTAAACAACTAAATTTCCCCAGGAGCCAAGATGGTTCTAATTATCTTAATGCCAAAATGACCAAGTCAAAGATTTTAGTATGCACCATTAGCAGAAACAAAGCTATAAAATAACTTTATGTTAGACCAGATGCCTTGCTAATCGTTTTTTGATTTAAAAAATAAACACCAGAAGAACAATCTAAAGTTTACAAAGACATATAGAGGAGCTGTCTGATTTGTTGGGCTAGGACTGAAAGGGCAAAGCAGCTTGACTACTGAGTGCACTTCCCTTGTATGTCTGATTAATTCTCTGTACAGATTCTTCCCCTCAGTTTTCTGATATGGGTATGTACCCTGAAGGCTTTGAGAGTGTGGCCTCAGGTAGGTTGTTCATGCTCCATGGAAAAGTCACGCACACAAAGTTGGGTGGGTAGGGAAGGGGTGTAGATTTGGGAAGAGTTGGGGAAGGGATGAATGTGATCAAAACAAAGTGTATGATATTATCAAATAACTAATAAGAAATGAGAAGGTATACTTTCTAGTGGAAATCAGAAAGAAGGATAGGAGTCATCTCATAAACTATAAGACTATCATAATACTTACAGATATTTTAATGCTGGCAATTTAAAAAAGTAGGGATCTTCAACAATTGTGAGAGGATTACGGTTAAGAATCCTGAAAAATACAAAGCAATTGAAATTACCATAATTTTCAATGTGCATTAATCTATTTATACAGTTTTAAAATTGGTTTGTGGGACAACAAGATGACTCGACCGGTCAATTGCCATCAAACCTGACTATTTAGGTTCAATCCCAGGACCTGCATGATGGAAGGAAAACACTGGCTTCACCAAGTTGTCCCCTGACCTCTACATAAATGTTATGGCAATCACATGCTCTGGCACACATGTACCCATACACAGACACACCTAGACTCCATAAACATCCATACTTTGGAAACTATTCATATGTATAACATTAAAGACAAGCAGAAGAAAAACAGGAAAAAAAAGGTGGATTGCAAAGAAAAAATGCCAGCGAATTCTTTTGGTCAAAAATCTTATGGATGAAGAGCTGGAGATAGGGCTCTGTGGTTAGAAGTGCTGGTTGCTCTTGTAAAGGACCCAGGTTCAGGTCCTAGCATTGGCACAGTGGTTTATAACCATCCATAACTCTAATTTCAGGAATCCAATGCCCTCTTCTGACTTCTGAGGGCATGGTCTGCAAGGACATACCTGCAGGCAAAATACTCAGACACAAAAAATAAATAAATATATTTTTTTAAAAAAATCCTATAAACAATGACATTGATAGTAAACCCTTTCAATGTATGAAACTATTTTAATGTGTTACACAATTCAAGATGCTTGTCCATTTTTAGAAATATAAGGTAATTTGTAGTTAATTCAGTTAAGAGAGGAAATGTTTGTAAGAGGGAGTTTGGGGGTGGGGAGATTATTTCCCTGGCTGCTGTGGGCACACATTCCGCTCCTTCAGCCAATAGCCCTTAAGATACCAGTGCACTTGGATGTGGTCTCTGATACGGTAAAAGCACCTGTAAAGCGTGCCCTGTCTCTCTTGCTTTGGGCTCCTGCTTCTGGCTGCTAGACTCTGTTCTTGTTCACACAGAGGACTGTTATCGAGGACAGTGATCTGTAAGTTTTCCCTTAAATAAATAACCCTTTTATTATTCATTATTCTGAACTGGTATGGGATTATTTTGTGACTTCCGTCATCATCTGGCACCTGAACGTTTGGTTTTAGAACCCCCAGCTGTGACTACACACCGCTGGGCTTAGAGCAAGCCCGGCTCGGCTTGAGTCCTCCTTCAGCCCGGCTCAGCCAGCACAGAGCCAGCAGTTCATTTGGTTATAGAATTCTTATGCAGCAGCAGCTTTTCTTGTTACAGATTAGCCATGGTTCTTTATATTATCTCATTACACACCTTGGAGCAGCTTCAAGTCCCCGCACGCTTTTCCTGGTGCTTGTGTCCCGCTGCCACGCACTGTGTGGAAACTCAGACAGGATACAGCTTTCCCAGGGGCCTTCTGTTATCTTGTTATCCTTGTCTGTGGCTGCTGACCGATCAGCGCACACAGTCTGTGGTTTCTACTAAAGAACTATTATTAATCTAAGCATATCTTTCAGCTTAGATTAATAAAATCATATTCAGACTAGCCACGTGTCTCCAAGTGCACTTCTAGGTCCCGCTGGATTTGTTTTGTAGGTGGCCCATGACATCTACTGGCAGGTAATGGTTATTGCACCTACTCCAGCTCAAAATCAACCATAAGTAAGATTTATAAATTGAAATATAATTTATAACTTTATAATTTAAAAGGTCAATATGTCAGACAACCTTCCAACATTTCAATAGCCTCTTATACCATGTACAGGTTTTACAAGACTTATATGATTATCACTATTCTTGACTCGGGGTATTAGTCTTGTCTTCAATATCTTTTTCATAAAAATATGGTTTGACAATAGGGCTAAGAATGAGGCACTTTTAGGAATAAAGCAGTCTTTACAGATTTATACAAGCTTCTCAGAAAAGAGGTTGGAACTCTGAAAGAGGATACAAACAATTCAACTAACAAAACTCAGTCAATTGAGGTACTTTTAGAAAAGGTACTCACAGTAATTTATTCAAAGGAAAATTCAGCACTCTGGGAAGGATACAGCTGATTTGGCACATAAAACTCAATCAATGACAGTGTGTGCTAAAGCATTACTTGAAAGAATTCGTACTGTTGTGTTGCGGGAGGTCCTCCCACTCCTCCAGCCTATAGCTGCTGAGATACCAGCCCATTGGGGCATGGTCTCTCTCCATTTAAAAAAGCGGCCACTTCCCTCTCCTCTCTCTCTTCACTTCCTGCTCCACCAGCGACTAGACTCCCTTCCTGGTTGCGTAGAGGGCTGTTGCCTGGGACAGTGATCTGTAAGTTTTTTCCCCTTTAAATAAATACCACCCTATTAATCATAATTCCAAACTGGTGTGGCATTTTTTGTGACTTATGCCTTCACTGTTGAATGTATTAATCAGACTCTGTCGAAGGGGTATGACAGATTGACTGACAGAATGTCTCTCCAGGAAGGTAATATACATCCTATAAAGATTATGTGCAAGGATGAGACATTATCTCTACTGGACAGATTTCATATCTTGGACTCCTCAATGAGGGGATTAGAACAGAGCACTGGACAGGAGATCCAGATATAACAGAAGGCAGTGGTAAATATATTTGAAAAGATTGACAAACATCAAATTTGATGACCAGGGACAAAAGGTACAAAGACAAAATTTAGCCTCATTAGTACATAAAAATCTTCAGGATAGCTTCCCTAGAGTTCTGCATGCCTTTTCAATAACAACATCAGAAAGAGTATCTGACCCCAAGTACCCTAAGGTTGTCAAAGAATATTAATGGGAGTCCATACATATGACTGATCAAAAGGAAATTAAATAAGCAATTGTAACTTATAGACTACATTTGTCCTTTGTTAGGGAAATGGTCAAAACGAGGGCTTCCAGTAACAAAGCAATGCCACAAGACTAGACTCAGTTAATCTTAGCAGTTCTAGAAAATGGACTGCAGTTACTTGGGAGGTGCTTTGTTAAGGAAGAAGCTAGAATTTTAGAACAACAGGAAAAAACAAAAGGATTTGAGATTTCCCTAGATCAAATTCTAGGAGAGGAACTTTACTCTGAATCTCAGGATCAAACTCTTTTTGATGAACACACCTGTCCCTATGTAGCACAGCATCTTGAAAGTCTTGAGACAGGATTTAGGAACCAACAAAGAGAATTGAATCATATCTTAGGGTTAAACAGGGTCAGAGAGAAACTTTTAGTGACTTTTTACAAAGACCAATTAGGGCTGTACAGATAGGGGTAACTGGTCCAGAAGCTAGACATATACCAATTGAGTCTTTGGCTTATGAAAATGCCAACGTAGAATGCAAAAGGATCCTTAAGCCTTTAAAGATCAGATCAGCACCCATGGATGAATGGGTCTTGCATAAAATGAATGTCGAGACAGTAGACTATGGTACTGAAGCTCAGGAAGGAAAAGCAATTTCCAGTGATAAGAGAAGACATCAAAATATCAAATGTTTTAATTGTGGTAGAATGGGACATCTGAGAAGAGATTGTAGACAAGGGATTCCTAGGAATAATGTCTCCTCTGGAAATGGCAGAAATAGGACTCAGCCTTCAGATATATGTAGGAGGTGTAACAAAGGCCGACATTGGATCAATGAATGTAGGTCAACAAAAGACAGACAAGGCAACCCGATTCCAATTGAGAAACGCCATGGGGAGCCTCTTGCAGGCCCCCAGTGATGAACATGGTTCAGTCATTCCCAGTTACTGTGGAGAATGTGTCTCACCAGAAAAATTTAAAAAATCCAAATCCAGCTGTTAAAAACAAGAACCACCCATATTCCCAAAAAATGGACTATGGATATTTTCATTTGTTTAGAATGTTGGTTACAGTTGTTATGGTTAATAGTCAGGAGAAAAGCTAAACAAAGGATATCAGATTCAGAGTTCTTGTTTTAAAAAAAAAACGAGGGGGAAGTAGTGTGGAACAAAGGTCTGTATTCTGTCAATTATATTTTAAATAAACGCTGATTGGCCAATAGCCAGGCAGGAAGTATAGGTAGGACAACCAGGCAGGAAGGAGAGGCAGGGCAACAAGAACAGGAGAATTCTGGGAAGAGGAAAGCTTGTTCGGCAGTCCTATCCCAGCCACAGGAAGAGCAAGATGTGACTGCCTCACTGAATAAGGTACTGAGCCACGTGGCCAGCATAGACAAGAATAATGGGCTAATGTAAATTAGGAGCTAATAAGAAGCCTGACCTAATGGGCCAATCAGTTTATAGTTAATGTAGACCTCTGTGTGATTTCTTTGGGACTTAACAACTGCAGGAACCAGGTAGAACAGAAAACTCAGTCAACAAATGGCACCCACACGGACAACTGCATCCACATAAAGCCTGAGAGAGCTGGGGAACTAATTCTAGACATAAAATAAGAAGTGTTAAGCGTGGCTTATTGATAGCAGTACTCTCTTGGCTGGGCTCTGCTCACTAGAGGCAAGCACGCTCATTTAAGAGAGGCTTCCTGACTCAGCTTTAGCTGTAAAACCTTGCAGTTCTTTTAAGAGGTCCTGCCACAAAACACTTAAATGGTGTTGATGAAAAGCTGACTGCATGCTTTTTGGTTTTCAGCCATAGCAGGAAAAAAGCTATGCTTTTAAAAATGCTGGCTTTCTGGGCCATCCTGCCAGTGCAAACTCTGACTCTTTCAGGCAGGAGGTTCACCTACAGAGCATTTGAGTATGGTCAGTGAGCATACTGCTACAGCTTGCTTGTTGGCAGGGACCTTGAAATACCATAGAGTTGTGGCAATAAACATGGCTACAGCTGGTACCTCTGTCATGAGGTTGGAATCTCAGAAAGCTAAGGAATGGGCTGGATTCAGCCGTCAAAGCCACGGCTTTAATCCTCTCCATATTGCTTAGCAAATTAAAGACTCACATAGTCAGTAAAAGAGAGAGATACAGTAAAGATAGACTCAAAGACAAAGAAAACCTCTAAATGGTTTACAGTGTGTTTAAAAAATATATACAGGCTTGGGAGGAAAAAAAAGGTTGAAATCCTTAAAA